TGCGCTGCGGGCCTGTGGTGACGGTGGTGGTGATGGTGATCTTGTTCACGGTCAGCCCCCCCGTGCCGTAGGTGTCAAGGTGGGCCTCTCGTTTGTACTCGGAGACTTGCTTGGTGGAGAGGAGCTCCCACACTGACACTCGCTGCTCCTGGAACTGGCCAAAAGTGATGTAGGAGCCCTCGGACTGGAGGAGATCCACTGTCTGCTGGGGAAGGGTTGCAGGATGCCTTTCCTTGCCATCTGCCACAATGCTGCTGGTGGTGCTGACCAGTTCCTGAATGGTGAGTGTCCCCGCACGGTACAGCTCCAGGAGCTCCTGCCTTTTCTCCTCAGGGATGTAGTCAGAGAAGAGCAGGTCCCACACGGAGACCTGCCCACCCTGGAACTCATCTGTTGCCATCTCAACTGTGGTGGACTTCAGGGTCTCTTCCCAGGTCCTGTCCTCCTGCAGGTGGGTGTGCTCGGCTTCTTTGGCTGCTGACTCTGCTCTTGGACCACTTGTGTGTGCCGATTGCTCTGCCTTTGCTGCTTCTGCCTTGGCCACAACAGTGCTGACCACGGTCTTCACCTGCTCAAGGGTGAGCTCTCCTGCCTGGTACAGCTCCAGGAGCTCCTTTCTGTTCTCCTCGGGGATATACTTGGAGTGGAGCAGGTCCCACACAGAGACCTTGTGGCCACGAAACTCTCCAACCTCCATGTCAACGACTGTGGTTTTCAAGGCTGTTTCCCATGGTTCTTCTTTGGGCGAGTGGTCGTCCTTCTCTCCTGCTGCTGGCCCGGTGTCCTTGTCGGAAGCCTTGACTGCAATTAGGAATTTCCTGCCTGTAGATTCTTTTTTCTTAATCAGAGTGGTGACAACAATTATTAACCTCTCCAAGGCCAATGTCCCCGCACGGTACAGCTCCAGGAGCTCCTGCCTTTTCTCCTCAGGGATGTAGTCAGAGAAGAGCAGGTCCCACACGGAGACCTGCCCACCCTGGAACTCATCTGTTGCCATCTCAACTGTGGTGGACTTCAGGGTCTCTTCCCAGGTCCTGTCCTCCTGCAGGTGGGTGTGCTCGGCTTCTTTGGCTGCTGACTCTGCTCTTGGACCACTTGTGTGTGCCGATTGCTCTGCCTTTGCTGCTTCTGCCTTGGCCACAACAGTGCTGACCACGGTCTTCACCTGCTCAAGGGTGAGCTCTCCTGCCTGGTACAGCTCCAGGAGCTCCTTTCTGTTCTCCTCGGGGATATACTTGGAGTGGAGCAGGTCCCACACAGAGACCTTGTGGCCACGAAACTCTCCAACCTCCATGTCAACGACTGTGGTTTTCAAGGCTGTTTCCCATGGTTCTTCTTTGGGCGAGTGGTCGTCCTTCTCTCCTGCTGCTGGCCCGGTGTCCTTGTCAGAAGCCTTGACTGCAGTTAGGAATTTTCTGCCTGTAGATTCTTTTTTCTTAATCACAGTGGTGACAACCGTTGTCATCTGCTCCAGAGTTAATACCCTTTCACGGTACAGCTCCAGGAGCTCCTGCCTTTTCTCCTCAGGGATGTAGTCGGAGAAGAGCAGGTCCCACACGGAGACCTGCCTGCCCTGCAGCTCACCGGCTGGCACATCAACGGTGGTAGACTTCAGGATGTTATCTAGTTGTGCGTCTTGTTCATCTCCGTTTCCCTCGACCCTTGTCACCGCTTTGTGTGGACTTCTGGCATTTGCCATGAGCGCAGCATTTGCAGCTTCTGTTCTGTTCATGATGGTGGTGACCGCAGAAGCCACCTGCTCTGTGGTCAGTATCCCTGCCCTGTACAGCTCCAGCAGCTCCTGCCGCTTCCCTTGAGGGATGTATTTGGAGAAGAGCAGATCCAGCAAGGAGATGCTTTGCCCCTGGAACTCGCCATCAGTGACGTAGATGGTTGCGGACTTTAAGGACTTTCTCAACTGTTGCTCCTGGGAGTGTGTATCCTGCACTGGCTGCGATGCTCCCCCCTCGCTGGTGGGTGTAACCGTGGGTGAGCCCAGATTCCCGTTTCCCATTTCTGCTCCGGTGATGATGGTGGTGAGGATGGCGATCATCTCCGGGATGGCGACTGTCCCCGCCTTGTATTTCCTCAGCAGCTCCTCTCTCTGGTGGTCGGGGATGTAGCGGGAGAAGAGGAGCTCCCAGGCAGTGACGCTCTGGCCCTGGAAGAGGCCCACGCTGACGGTGGTGCGGGCGGCCTGCAGGGCTTTGCGGGCGTCCTCGGTCAGCTGGTAGAGCACGGAGCCCTTGTCCATCAGCTGGAGCATGAGCAGCCCCGTGTCCGGGTCGGGCACGCAGCGGCGGAGGAGCTGTGTATAAGTGAGGTTCTCATGGGTGTTGGGGTCGAAGCAACTTCTTGTTTGATTCTTGGGGTTGGAAAGAAACTGGCACATCTCCTGGTCAAAGTAGCCGTGCTGGTAGGCCACCTCCACAGGGATGCGGTGGCTGTTGATGGGGTCAATGATGCCGCCGGTGGCGATCTGGGCCTCCAGCAGGCGGATGGCGTGCTCCTTGACGATGAACTCTTTCTTCATGGCCTGGAAGAGGGAGATCTTGTTCCCCGTGTACGGCTCTGTGTACCCTGTCACGGCTCCCTCTGCCGACAGCAGCTTCTCGTAAAAATCTCTGCCTATGAGTCCTGCAGTCAGTGCCTCTTTCACCGATCGTTTCTCGTTCCTCACGGGGTCGGTGAGGAAGCCTGAAGCAGCCTGCGCCTCCAGCAGCACTAGGGCCGTACCTGGTGTCAGGAGCCCCCTCATCATCGCGTCGTAGATACTGATCTTCTTATTCATGGCCTGGATGAAGACCCCAGCTATGAAGTGACCCCCATCCCTGCCCATCCCGTTGTAACCTGCCATGGGGTTACTTCCCATGCTGCCGGACTTGTTGTTCTGAGGGGGTCCACTCATCTTCTGCATTGCCTCCAGGGAACAGTCCCGCTACCGTGGGGCACCGTGTTTGTCTGAGGAGAGAGAAAGAAAGGACACGGTAAGACACGGGTTCTGGTGCGGTTTTCGTGGGGTGTGTGACCAAAACTGTCTCCCTGGATGTGGTAGCAGGAGCCCAGAGAGAAGTGGGGAGTGGGGACCGGGGTTCTGCTGCTGGGCCCACTGCGGGCCCCACGGAGCCGCCTGCTCTCCCGGAGCCTGACACCGCCTCGAACCGATGGCCTCTGCCACCTTCCTCTTCTGTTCCTGGGTGACACAACCATGGCTCACTTTTGGGCTGGGGCCACAGTGTGCCAGCAGGAAGCATGGCCACTGCTCACCCCCCCTGCTCCCTCAGTACCGGCCCCTGTGCTGCCCCGTGCTGGCAGATTTGGCTGGTGGTCGTTTGACAAGCGCCGGTCGTGCCAAGAAACAGCGGTGCCTTCCTGATATGCCCGCCCCCAGCGACCCCCCAGCCGCAGAGGGGCACCGGCGGGCGCTGCAAGTCACCCTCTGCTCTCGTCCCCTGGAACCCTCATGCTGCCTGGCTCTGTGCTGGTCACAGGCAGGCTGGGAGCGCGGGGGGGTGCCGGGAGGCACAGCCTGGCTGCGAACATCGTTCTTCTTGCTGGGTGGTCCCACGCCGCCCTGGCATGGCATGGGGCATGTGAATGGTCCTGGCGACAGAGGGGCGGCTGGTATGATCCCCGCGCAGCAGTGGGTCGGAGCGGGCAGAGACCCTCTCTAAGGCTGTGCCTCTGCTGCAGCTGGGATGTGCCCAGGTCCCTGCCTGCTCCAGGGCCACTGGGGTGGCAGAACTGCCAGGCCCTGTCCCTGTCCAAAATGGGGGTCTGCTGCCACAGCCACGCTGGCACTGCTCCTGGCCCACGCTGACTTCCAAATGGCACATGGGCATGGTCCATGGCAGGGCTGGGCGGCTGATGCTGGGGACCGTCCCAGGGACTGTTCCACCAGTTACAGCAACTGGGGAGAAGGGCAGAGTCACAGAATCCCAGAATCCCAGAATGGCAAGGGTTGGAAGGGACCTCGGGAGATCACCCAGTCCCACCCTCTGCTCAAGCTAGAGCATGTTACACAGGACAGCGTCCAGGCAGGGGTTGAATATCTCCAGAGAAGGAGACTCCACAGCCCCCCTGGGCAGCCTGGGCCAGGGCTCCATCACCCTCCAAGTCAAGAAGTTCTTCCTCCCGTTCACCTGGAACCTCTTCTGCTTCAGTTTGTGCCCATT